AAATTAAAATGTCCAATCAAAATTGAAATAACACAAAAGTTTTCTAGAATATTCTAAAACTGTTTCTACTAGAAAAAAAACCATAGTGAAGTTTAAAATAATATATCATTGTAATTGTAACTCCAATTTTATTTTTTTCAAAATCAGTTAATAAAATCATTTAAAGATAAATAAATTTATTGTTTTTAACTTCAATATTTTATGTACTATACATAGTATGACCTCGTAGGTAATATTTTATATTATTCAGAAACAAAATTTCTCATTTATTTACATAAAATTTACCTTACATTAATTTTAATCTGAATAAACTAAATAGATGGTATTTTTTTTAAATTATTTATTTATTTGGAATTGCAATCAATAACAATTTTGTACAAGTTTAAATGAGGTTTGAGTACTAAATGTTTACAGGAGTGGGATATTAGGGGTAGCCTAACAAGTCTATACGATGWAGGAGTATAAGGGAGGGGGGTTGTCAGGGTTTGGTATAACTATTTGAATTGAAAACTTCCAATTGTAACATTAAAAATATGCTAGAGGACGAATCATATTAAATGAAATAATTAAATGTGACAGTTATCAAAGATATTCCGGGAAGGTGTTTGGACCGTTTGGGGTCTTCAAATGTTATGATATCTAATCCAGGGAATTTACTTTCGGGGAATGTTGAGATTCAAATGATTCAATGTTGAACTTTAGTTGGAGAAAAGGAGTTAGTGAAACGAATGGTAACAAGTATTTTAAATGTAATAATTTWTATAATCTAAATTATTATTACCTACCTAATCCTGATTGATAAGCTTTTATTAGCTGTTGCTACAGCAAGATAAAAGTATTGATTTTTGTAATTATTGAACTGCATAAATTAGGTATACTATTATAATAGTGATTTCATGATGCGGGATTTTTTTACTGGTTATTTCAAAGTGAGATAATGTATAAAGTACGTATTTTTATGAATTAAAATACTGGCCCCATATTGTATAGAAAAATATTAAAAAACATTAACATATTATATAATATAAGAAATGTATGAATGGGTTTTTAAGCAAATGTTATTTTAAAAGTAAGTATAATAATAAACATCGTYATTTAAATAAAGTAATTTCAAATTTCAAAAAAAATTAAAAATTTAGGTATTAATAATATTGTAAATATTTTACTGAATTTAAAATAATTATCTAAAATTCTAATTTAAATTAAACTGCTTAATATGACTAATAATTGCAGTAATAAATATTTAATAATAATAATAATTAAAACTGAATGATACAATTTATATAATAATATTAGATTAGAGTTTTCATCTCATGTTTCAAGAGTAAAAACAAATGGCTTATGTGTGACTATGAAATAAGATGGTTATACATTTACGTCAAAACATTAGGTATATGACCCCGGTGGACGAGCTGTAAACGATACAACTATACTACCATCTGATATAGTAATGTTAATATTTTCTTATATAGAATTAAAGGAACAAAATATCCATTCAATTTGAACTCAAATATTTAATATAAAACTTGAAATTGTTGGCCAACAAAATAAATGTAAGCTGAGTTATATTTATTTGATTTTCTTTGGT